TTTTTTTTTTTTTTTTGGGTTTTCTTTTTAAAATAAAATTGGCAACGTAATTAAGTAAATAATAATAATAATAATACAGAGATGATGGTCGTACAAATATTTTTTTTTTTTTTTTTTTTTTACTTTGATATGAAAAGAAATTTATCACCAAATATTTTTATGTACATAATTCCTATATATATATACACGCGATTATTATGGATAAGTAAAAAAATTGCACTTGATTTATGTCTCTGTGCACAGTCGTTTTTTTTTTCTTTTTTTTTTTATCTTAAACGAAAAGTTAATTCGCTTTTCTTTTTTCCTTTTTCCAAAACCTTTTTTTTTTTTTAATCGATTTTAACGGTTGAATAAATTTTTCTCACAAATGCTGAACTTCCTATGTAGCCAACAGTTCCACACATTAAACCCAGTGCCAAACTAAACAATGCCATATATCCAAAATAAAAGGCTGTTTGAAATAATCCGTACATTCTAAAAAACAAAAAATCAATTGATATAATTAAAACTATTCTTTTTTTCTTTTCCAAAACGTTTTTTTTGTTTTTTTTTTTACAACTCACTTTGTTTTAAATAAGAAATAATAAAATGAATATATGTATACGTAAGCACTAGTCGAAGACGCTGCAAGAAAAGATGTCCATTGCCATCTGTAATCCTCAGCGTTCAGTAGGAAGTAAGTGCACACTATCGTAACACAACCAGTGACTATCATAAGAATTCCGAAAACTAATAACATGAATCCATACACGTAGTAAATTTTGTACGCCCAAAAAGAAGTAAAAATAAAGTACCTAAAAATAAAATTAATTAATTAATAAATATTACTTGAAACGAGTGAATATTTACGAGTTATCGTAATGTTCGTTTATTAAATTTACATTTCGATAAATATGGATCCAAAGGGTAAAATGCCTCCCAAAATAATTATGATGGCGGGTTCCATAAACCATTTCTTTTCGGGAATGGGACGTGGAACGGCATTTACCCTGCAAGGGAAATCAGGTTGACCGGCAAGGTTTCTTCCCAATACTGTTCCAACAAGTGTTAGAGGAAGTATTACGAAAATACAGATGCAAGTTACAGCAACCTGAAATGTTTAAAACAAAAAAATAAATATTATGCGTGCACTTTTAAAAAAAATAAATAAATTTGTGAATTACAAAAAAAGAGTACTTACCATGCTACCGAATGGAATGGCTCTCGAAGCATGATAATAAATAGCTATGAAGTTTATAAAAAATGCAGTTCCGCAAACAAGAGCTGGTAAAAAGAAAGCGGAAAGAACCATTTGTTTAATCCATCTCTTGCCACCGCTTTTAGCATATAAAGAACCACCGAAATAACCATTGACGGGTGATGTGGCTGCATACACGAATATTGATGTCGATAGAAGGGAACCCCTTTCCGTGTACAATTCTCCTAAAATTGCGAATACGATGACGCAAAATGTGACCACGGTGACTTGATAACCCGCTCCCACAAGCGAGGAAAAGAAAAGCGAATGAGAGGGAGGGCGAAAAACATCACCGTGTACTTGTTTCCATCCATATTCATCCCCTAAATCCCGTTCCTATAAACATTTGAAAATTTTGTAATCAATTTCCTATATATAAATTTTCATGACTCGATAACACTCAAAGTAGCAATAAGTATTTTATTATTTTTTTTACCATGTCATCTAATTCATCATCTTTAGAATATCTTGCATAATCTTTTCTCAAGTTCTAAGAAGTATCATTGATACTAAGCCCACAAGAAATATTACCATCATGAAGCTATGAATATGCTAAACCAATGAATCTGTAAGTAAGTAAAAATTTATTATTCCTTGATAAAGTATAAATAAAATTGACGTAATTGTTAAAAAGCCTAAAAAATTGAACAATGACCATTGTTACAAGGTTGTTAAAAAAAAAAATAAAGTTTTTTTCCTATACTATTTACCTATTTTTTTATTATTTTTATTTTTAATTAATATATCGAGAAATAAAAGAAATATTTTACTTACTCTATGTTGAAAGAAATTAGGGTCCAAGTATTTATCAAATCTATCTTCGAATTTAATAGTAGATGGTTTCCAATTAACTTCATAAGTAAATCCTATAATGGCACCATCGACAATTTTTTTTTTACTCTCACTAGTTAAATTAACATCAACAATCCTATTTCCATTGTAACCAATATCAAATTTTTTATGCGTCCAAAGATAGTAGTCTGGAGTTTCTTTGTATTCATCAGTTTCTTCTTCTCCGACAATTCCTAAAAATTTTAAAAGATCCATTTAAATAATTATTTTTTCAAGTAATTATGGTTAAATTTCAGATGAAAAACACAAAGCATATTTACCCCATATTGGCAAATCATCAATGTACATTTGGTACCAATAATGATTCTTAACAGCATAAATAAATGTTTTAACCGATTTTTCATTTAAATGTATTCTACAAAATAATGAGGGAATGACATTTTGTTTAAACTCAATATCTAGACCAGAAAACTCTAATTCAACTCCCTAAAAATGATAATAATAATGTCATTTAATAAAGAAAATTAAATGTTGCATAAATGCAAAATAGTTATAAATACCTGAAGTGCTTCACTAAGAGTTTCGTGATAGTGTGATATTGTTGGCTTATCACCAGTACAAAAAGGAAGAGAAAAATAAGCATAAGTTTCTTGTCTATTGTGGTAAGGGCCCACAGTATTCATCCAAAGAACTACTTCTTCATTGTCACGGTACTGAAATCATAATAATGCGATGTAAATATTATAACAAAAAAAATTGGAATTGATAAATGTAAATTTTATGAAAGCTGTAATAATACAAAACAAACCGTAAAGATGGTTTGAAAGTAAAAAGATACAAAACATATAAATACTCACTATATGATTATGCTCAT